CAGGATAGCTTTCCAGTATCATTTTAATTACAAACGTGCTGAGCCATGGGGAAGCAGGCAAAAATTGGGTTTCTCAGGGCCGCCTTCCATGTTTGTTAAGGGCAACTGGGGTGCTGCATCAATGCAATAAAACATTAAATAAAGCAGAATGGCTTCCACCCATAACAGCATATTATTAGCATGGTTATTACACTATACCCCACCCTGCTTCATCTTGCAGGACAACTAAGACGGCTTACAAGATTCTCCTCCTTTCCATTTTATCCTCACAACACCCCTGAAAGATAGGCTAAGCCATGGGTCCTCAAACTACGGCCCGGGGGCCATGCCCATCTGGACCTGCTGCGCCCACTGCCGCCCATCTTGCCCCACACATGGGGTGGCGCGGTGTGCTCACTTGCAGAAAATGATCTCCAAGCGAGCAGGCTGCTGCCTCGTGTGCCTGCCTCGCCCCACGCGCCCACCAGCGCCTTGCCCCACACCCTGCCCTGCCCCCGTCAATGCGCGCACCTGCACGTGCCGCCCCCACCCCTGCCCCCTCGCCGGCCCGTGCGCACCACTGGCACCATCTCTCCGGCCCATACTCAGCACCGGCACCTTTCAACTGGCTCCCTGGTGAAAAAGTTTGAGGACTCCTGGGCTAAGCCGAAAGTCACCCTGCAAGCTTTATAGCTGATTGGGGACTAGAACCTGGATCTCCCGAGTCCCCGCCCAGCACACCTCTGGCTCGCTGGACTCCCCTCCCACCCTGGTCCTTTTGCAGCCACCTGCACAGACACAGCCCCTCCTGCTCTGCCTGGACACATTCCGGCTGTCAGTACTGCCTCCTCTGAGTCGCCACCAGCGGAGGACCGTAAGCCCTGCAGGAGCAGGTCGAGCCCAGCGATCGTGCCGAGCGAGGTGGATTCATGGCTGCCCGAGCCTGAGCGGGGCTGCCGGGAGTGAGTGCTGCTGTGCTCACCAGGCTGGGGCGAGGAGGGTGGGCTGGGTGGCTCACACAGGGCCTGCTGAGCACACGCCCACACGCCAGTGGGCAGGGACCCGCCTGAGTTGCCCCAAGGCCCATCCCACAGAGTGGCTGTGCCCAGCATCCCATCCACGTGCCCACTGGCTGTACGACATGCAGAGGACAGCTACCTCTCGGTGGCCTCCGGGGGCACCCGCTTGCACAGATGTCCTGGGGTGTGAGCGGGCTTCACATGCTTGGCCTCCAGTCCCATTGCAGGAGGAACGTCCATGCTCCCTCGGCAGGTGCGAGGAGGGAAAGAGCCGGGGCAGCGCTGGCCCTCGGTTTGGTGGCCCGTGTGCAAATCGTGCTCAGGGAGTCCGGCTTCTCGGTGCTCTTGCCGCAGCCGCCCTCGCTCCTTTCGCTGTCTTTCTCCTCGTGGCCCCACCTGCTTGCTTGGCAGGCATCCGGGGCAGTGGCCCACCTTGCTCTGTGTCCCCAGCACAGGCTCCAGAGCGAGGTGCAGGCAAACAAGCCGGGTGCAACAAGAGGGCCGAGCAGCAATGCCGGGAGCCGTCCAACTCGCTGGAAGGGCGCGTGTATATGGCGCCTACGGTGCCCGGGAGGGAGGCTGGTGTGTTTTCTTGGTGCTTCACAGCGTGCGCTCGCCAGGTTCCTGGCTGGATCCAGAGCAACCACCAGTGCTGCGTGGTTGCCAGTTTCCCTTGGACCCCATGCCTCGTCATGCCGCCACAACCAGCAACACATACAAAGCGATTCAGGTTGGGATGTTTGTCTCCCAGTGACCCCAAAGCCGCCAGGAGCACTGCTTTCCTACTGCTGATGGGGACAAGAAAGCAGACCTCCCACCCTCTGCGCCTGGGCAGAGAAGACGTGAAGCAGCCCCCGCGTATTCCGCAGCAGGGAGGAATGCAAACGTATACGGGCATATGCATCCCACCAGCCTTGCCTCCCGCCTTCGAGCCTTCCCAGCACCCATGACCTGGGCCAAACTGCTCCCAGAACAAAGCATCCACTCCACGGTTCCTGGGGCCAGCCAGATGGAGCCCCATGCAGCGGCCTGGCATGCAGCTCCAATGACAGACACGAGACGCTGCGGTGGCACTCACAGCCCATCACACAAGGACAGGGTTCAGTCAGTAGGATGGACATGTTCCTGGGTGGCAGTAGGGCCAAGCACCTGTGGCCAGTTTCAGTTGGCTCCCAGGCATCAAAGTGCCTGGAGCTGCAGCTTCTAGAGCAGGGGTCCTCAGATTTTTTAAACGGGGGCCAGTTCATTGTCCCTCAGACTGTTGTGGGGCCGGACTACAGTTTGAAAAAAAATGAATGAATTCCTATGCACACTGCACATTAAAAATTAATTTAAATGAAATTAAAAATTAATTTAAATGAAATTAAAAATTAATTTAAATGAAATTAAAAATTAATTAAAATTAAAAAATAAAATTATTTTTTAAAAAATTAAAAAATGTTTGCTCTGCTCCCTTGGGTAGTAGCAGAAGCCCAAGATGAGGTGGGGAAGAGCCATCTCTGGGTAAGCTGCGGCTGCCTCGCCGAGCCTGGGGGAAGCTGCCGGATGGGGGCAGCGGTTCACCCACAGAAGGGCATGGCTCCCATGCCCCTGGGGACGTGCCTCACATACTTAAAAATGGATTTTAAAAGTTATAAGGTACGTTTTCTTATCTTCAATCCTTTTTGAGTGTCGTCGTCTCTCTCTCTCTCTTCTGCCCTCTTCTCTTCTGTTTCCTGCTCCATATTCCCACTCTGTATATGGATGTAATGGGGGGCGGCGGGGAGAGATTCAGCACATGCGCAGTTGAGCTTCTACAATTAGGCATGTGCGCCAGCTCTCTGTCAGAGAACGCCTGTGCCGGCTCAGAGCTTTTGGACTTGCTTGGAGATTGTTTTCTCTGAGATAGTCCAAAATCTCTGAGGCGGGCCAAATTCGGCCTGCAGGCTGTAGTTTGAGGACCCATGTTCTAGAGCATTAAGGGTTGCAAGATGAGAGCCAGAGTGAACAAGCTCTGCCCCCCCCCCCCGGGCAGAGGAGCAGCTTCCTCCTCCCACCTTGCCAAACAGGTAGACCGTGGACTTCAGCATCTAGATGGGGTGCTTTGGAGAGCAACAGGAGGCCGAGGTGCTGCCAGGATACATCCACTGGTAGGTCGCAACTGCCCCACCTCGTCCTATCTCCTGGACTACCTGGGGAATTCCTTTTCTAAGGTCACTTTACCATCTCAAAGAAGCAGGTGGCATGATTCTTTCTTTGCTGGCTACAAGGGCGTGGTGGAGCAGGATCTGAGTGCAAACTTTCAGCTCTGAGGTTGGAGCAATTTTCTGACCTTACAGCTGGGAAACTGAACTATCCTGCAGCCATTTAGCTGCTGTCCAGGGGTCCTATGATCATTTTGTAATTTGTTTAAGCAAACAAAACAAGACAAAACAAAACAAAGCACCAAGTGACGGCTCTAAGTCTTTCATTTTAATATTAATATCAAAATAAGATCTTTTTATTAACATAACCATTTATGCATTGTTACATTAATATACACTATTTTTCTCCAGTTAGCTTACAGAATCCTCCTTAAAATGACTCTGTGAGGTTAGGCTGAGTGTATATACGTTACTTTAATACAGAATTACATAAAATAAGCTTCACTTAATATCAGGACCACAATTGTACTTAATATTGATATGGAAATAAAACAATATTAACACAAAACTTTACCAAAATGAGAATATGAATAGCATAATTTATTTAAATAACATAGCACCATTACAATATGACAATATCCTATTGGTATTAACACAAAAGCACAGTATTTGCAAAAGATAACATCGTGCTGACATTATCTACTAAGAAAGCAAAAGCAAGAGGGTCCCAACGTTCGCAATCTCTGTCTGGAGCCCGTCGAGTTAACAGGCAGCCGCGATCCATTAAGCAGCGAGGCCACTTGCACCCCTTTTATTACCGGGCATCAACACAGCAAGCCAAATAACCGGGCTCCCTCAATAACAAACGGCGAACGGTGATAATGGGCCAAGAGAAGACTCGGATCGATGAAGGCGGCACGGAGCTCCTCCAGCTTGCGCGGCAGCCCATGCGCGAATGGCGGCGCAGCCAATGAAACGGACAGATCCCGGTGAGGCCCTCCAATAGGATTTCAGCACTGGTCCGCTCCCGAGGCAGCGCACAGCGTTACGGGCGGAGCCCAGTGAGGGGGCCGCCCGGCCAATCAGCGCTCCAGATTTGCAGGACGCATCTCCAATAGGCACCGCAGTTCTCCTACGCCTCCGCCAATCAGCACCTTTGTTTGGGGTTAATGAGCTGGAGGAGGGACGGAGCCACCTCTATAGACTGTAAGCCAATGGAGGTGCACGCCGGATTCTCGACCCGCTCCCTAGCACGACCACCCCTCCCTTCTCGGCCGCTCTGCCTTCTTCTGATTGGCTGAGCGCCACTGCCTGCCATTTGCGTCACTGCCATGCCCCGCCCCTCCCCTTTCCGCTTACTTATTGGCCGCAGCAGCTGCCGTTACGCTGGTTCCCCGACATTCTGAAATCCTATTGGCTGTCGTACCCGCTCAAGATTTACCGACTCCTTCTCTCCCCTCCCCGTCACCTTCTATCATGGCAGTCCAAGTGCCTCCGATACGCCTCTCTGCATTTCTCCCGCCCTTTTGTTCATTCAGTCTACCATAGGTTGACAACGCTGCCAGTCAGGCCCATCCTCCCTTCCGGCCCGCCTCTATAAAGCGGCGATTGGGCAAGGGGGACGTCTGTTCAGGCGAGAGACCAATGGGTGCCCCGGGGAGTATGTGAGTAGAAGGAGGTGAAGGGGCGCGCGGCTGCAGGCCCGGTATCGGTGGCAGGGCTCGAAAAAACGGGCGGCGGCGACGGCAGAGGCTGTGGAGATTGGTGGTGCTGAGGCAGGAGCGACAGCGGGGGCAGCAGAAGCAGAAACAGCGAGGGCGAGCAGGCGGGAGCGGAACCGGAAATAGAAGCCCAGCGGAGGAAGGGGAGGGGCGGGGGCAGCCGGGGAAGAAGAAGAAGAGGCGGCGGTGGCGGCAACGGCGCGCGCGCCTGCCTGGATCCCGTTCGCGAGGAGGCGGCGGCGGAGGAGGATGTGGCGCGCGGAAGGGAAATGGCCGCCGAAAACAAGCCGGAAGGTGAGCCGAAGACACGGGGGTGCCCGGGAAGCCGCGGCAGGGGACGCGCGAGCTGCGGAGGGGTGGGCTGAGGGGCACGCGGGAGCGCGCAGGCGCGCGCCCCCTGGACTTGCCAGCCTGCCCGGCCCGCGCCCTCCGACGTTCCTCTGCCGCCGGTGGGGGTTCTCTGGGCCTGAAAGTTTAGAGGACCCGGCCGCGAGGGAGGGGCGGAGGGCTCCTCCTGGGGGCGGGGCGGGGCCGGCCTGGCCGGGGGCGCTTCCGTCCCCCTCGCGGGCACATGGCGGGCGGGGGAGGATGCGAGTGGGCGGGAAGCCCCTCCCCCCGCCGCCGCCGCCGCCCCCCCCTCGCTCGTCCAGCCAGCCGAGGGAGGCCGAGCGCGGGAGACGCTCTTCCCGGGCCCGCCGCGGTGGGGGCGAGAGGGGCGTGTGCGCGCGTGTGAGGATTCCTGCGCGCACATGCACGCGTCGAGCCTTTCGGGAAAGTGAAGGCCCCGAGTCAAACTTCGGGGAGGCGAGCCTTCAGGCAGCTTTCCCCAGCCCCGGGCTCCCAGACGGTTTGCCTTGCAGCCCCCACCAGCCCCAACCAGCATGGCTGTTGGTTGCGGAATCGGGGACCGTAGTCTCCGGTGTCGTCGTGGACCGCTGCTCCCATGCGCCCCAGCCAGCGTGGCTGCTGGCTATAGATGCTGGGGCGGTTGATCCAAATGCCTTGCAGGACGCTAGCGGGGGAAGGCAGCCGGGCAGGCAATCAGCGGGGCTGCCCGGCTGCAACGTTGTGCGAGGGGCCTGAGTCCCATGTGCCGGGGGTGGGGTAGCCGTGTGGCAGCTGTGTCTGATCCCTGTGCCGTTGGCAAACTTGATCACCAAAGACATGAATATCTTTCCAAGGACAGGCAAAAGGCAGTTGTTTCCATCCACATCCGGGATCGTTCGCTCTGGTATGCCAAGTAACGAAGCAGCTTAGCCACCTGTTCTCCTTGGCACAGGGATGGCCTGTGAAAGTCACTACGGAGTACTGAGGAAAGCATGATTCTCCCAATTTGGGCCAGGAAACGGTTATTGGCCTTTCCCTAGCATTAAAAGGAGCTACATAATATAGGCTTTGTATCTTTTTGTGCAGAGGAATTATTGGCCACAGCTGAAGTTGCTATGGGCTAATACAGGCAAGAATGGGGATTTAAGTGTCAGCTCAGGAGATCTATGTCTGATGCAGACAAGGGCATGGAGACCTTTGGCTGTGAAGAGGTGGTGGGACAGGCCTCTGTACTGAAGGCAGTCTAGGTGAGCCTCAGCGTGTGTTGCTTTTACATGGTGTTAAAGTGAAGGAGTACTGTGTCCTGATTCTTCCAGTGCTTGGAAAATGAGGCATGCTTGTGTCAGATGTATCTCAGAAAGTAATAAGATGGGGACTGGGAGAAGGTAGATGCAGCAACCTTTCTGGAGGAGAATCTGGTTTGCTGTATTTTTTGGCAATAGAGCAACAAGGCCTGGAAACATAAAGCAAAAAACATTGCTGCTTTTTTGCTAGCATGGGTACAGTGAGGCGCTATGTCACGCGTAGAATTGCTCGTTTCTTGGTCCTAGAGGTGGGCTCTGCTCTTGCAGACAATGAGTATGGGGATACACAGAGGGAGGCTGTCTCGTGGTAGCAAAAGTGTGCTGTCCTGTGCATCCAAGGGCACATCCAGCACCTTGTAAAAGATAGGGCAAAGATTTGGCATCTGAGAATAGGCAGGAGTGAAGGACTGTTTGCGTGGAAAGGGAACCTCTCATTTCTTGGCATTGAAGACTGTTGCTGTTCAGGAAAAAGGTATGGTGCTGCTGCTTGGAAGTGCAGTTGGAGGTTACAGCAGTGCTGCGCATGTGGGTGTATAGCACACACAGGTAGAGAGACAGCAGTATCTACAGAAGAATGTGCAAGTGGAATTTAAATGTGCTCATGGTTTGCTTTCAAGCCCCACTGTGTGCTTCTTGGCGCATCTTTGGATAAAGATAGTGTTTTGTGGAGATACCAGTGGGTGGGCCTCCTTCCCTGTATGGAGAAGGGAATATATTTGGCATTTATCCCCACTGGATGCTTGGGCTCATAATTGGTCTATATATATCCACTTTCTCATCACACTTCTGCATGTCCTTTTGTTTTGTCCTCTGCTTACATTTTGTGGATAGACTGTCGGCCTAGTGGGGCAGGGAATGGCTGCTGCTTCTGTTTCATGATGCAAAACAATGAAGAGGCGACAGATATTTTATTGGGTTGCTTGGCGGTGTTTCCACTCCATCCATGCTTGTTGGCACCTCTTTGCACTGCTGTGTGTACTCCAGTCACTGGTGCAGTGTGGACCAACTGCTGTTAAGCCATAGCAGTCTTAATCTACCTGCCTCACCTGTCAGTGAATGGTTGGTGACATCCATTTGTGTTGTTATTGGGGAGGGATGGACAGCTATATTTACAGAGTAAATATAGTAACAGTTGGGGAATATGCACCCAACTGTACAAGGGTTTCATAGGGAGAAGTGATAACTGTTTTCAGTCATAGCTGAGATCATAATGGGGCTTGCTGTTGTCTACTATGGAGAGGCATTAGCTCAGTAGTAAAGCATGTGCTTTGCATGCAGAAATTCCTACACTGAGTTGCTTTCATCTTCAGTTAAGGGATGTCAAGTATCAGGAAAATATTTCTCTCTGCTGCACTGCCAGTCAGAGTAGTCAGTTCTGTGTAAGATGGACTCATGGACTGTCATTTGATAGAGATGTCTAATGTGGGAATAAATATTAATCATTGCAACCTGCTATGTGATGGTAGCAGATTTCTGTTTTCCATACAATTCAGGAATAGGCTGTCCAAAAGAGAACATTTATTCATTTATTTATTCAAGTCAATTTTATTTATTCAGCTTACATGCCTCCCCACTAGCCATGGACTCTCCAGATTAGGAGATTCAGTTTTTCAAGTTTCTCTGTCTTGAGTTGTTAAGGCAGGTTATTTCAGAAGAGTCACTTACTGAGGTAGGAGGAGGTGGGAGATCATCCACTTGTTCAAAAGCTTTTTTCTATAGTACGGTACACTACTTTGCCCTTCTGCTGCAGTATCTTCCATCTTCTTTTAAGTTGAATGTGTGCTTATTAATTGTACAGATCAGGGGATCTATTTTAATGAATGAAATATGAGTATATATACTTGCATCTCTGAACCTTCATCAGATGGATCACTCCACCCTTGTACATGTTGCGTATGGTTTTGTGGATCCGTTTTCTTACTTCAGTTCATCTAGCCTTCCCTAACATGGTGCTCTTCAGACGTTCTGGAGTACAATTCCTAGCATTCCTGACCACTGACTATGCTTAAAGGGGAGCTAATGGGAGTTGAAGTACAAAATACCTGGAGGGCACTTGGTTTGGGAAGACTGTCTTGTCTATGCATGATGATATATCTTTGTAGTGTTTTTAAGCTGCTTTAGGCTTTAATTGATTTAATGCCAAAAAATATATTGAATGCCCTGTAGCTAGAACTTTTTCCTCTGTGTGTGGGGGGGGGGGGGGGGAGGGAGAGAATGAGAGAGAGATGGTTTAAACTGAAACTTTTCTCTCAGAAATAAAATGTGGATGGCTGTAGTCTAATATTTGAAATAGACCATGTTTTAAGGTGAGGATGGAATTAACATGGTCTGTATGTAGAATGTGAAAAGATGAGCATCTTCAGTATTGACCATCTTAAGGGTATGCATTTTATTTTAATTTTTTTTCAATTCTGTACAGAGAACTTATTCAATACTGAAGAAAGTATTGAATATTATAAAGCAAAGTGAGTATGTATTTAAAATTTTGTACTGCGAGAATGAAATCATGTCATTCTTGAAATAATGGTGATTGGATAGTTAATATATGATAAATTACGCCATTTTATGCAAGAGCAAAGGATACTTTTTAGAGCAGTGTGTTTTATAGAAAATCAAATCTTGTTGGGTGTTTGATTTCCACATGATGTGAAATAGTTTTGAGGAGAGTTCAGATTTTCTTGGAATTGATGCATAAGACAATTGAATAATTAATATATCAAGAATAGAAAAGATAAAGCTGGAACTTACTGGTGAAAGTTGCTAGAAGAGAATTCAGTTTTGTAAATTAGAAGATAAAGTTTTTATTGCATAGCCACAAGGGGGTAGTGATGTACTATTGAAGATAACTTGTAGATGAATTATTGACTGATCCATTAAAAACATTTTAAATAAACATGTCCAGACAGTAAGTTTGAAACTTCCCTTAATCAGATCTTTAGAAGATTTCGTAAGTAGACATTTAAAAGGGTTAAACTTTTGGTCTTGGTTCAGGTAGTGCAGTGGTTGACAGTCCACACAGGCAGACAAAGGCTTCAGTTGAAAATGAAGTTTTTATTTTGCATTTTTCAATTTCAAACTTCAGAAATACAAAGATCAAGTGAAAAATACACTATTAAAAGTAAGGGTTAAATACTAAGCCCTCAAATAGTAACTTCCCTACCAAACGTAAGTGTTTTCTTTCCTTGTTTTTCATTCATTTGTGGAACTTGGTCAGAAACATTATACCACATGGCATGCGCCACATTGGTGAAGAACTAGCCAGACAGAAACAACTTAATTTCTAGATGTTGTCATTGGGGTTTTAGGCACTAGTATCAAAGCAAGATTGAAAAGAGATTGAAGGCAAAAGAAGGGGACGGCAGAGGTTGAGGTGGCTAGATGGGGTCACTGGGGTGGTGGGTGTGGGTTTGGGTGGACTCCTGGGGATGGTGGAGGACAGGAGAGCCGGGAGGAATGTTGTTCATGGGGTTGTGAAGGGTTGAGCATGACTTGGCAACTAAACCTTTTTGTTTCAACGATATTTTAGTAACTTTTAATATTAGTTTATATGCAGCCAGGATGGATCTGGATTTTATCTGTATTATGTTTTATTTATGTAAGCTGTCCCGAGGCTATGCGATGGGACGGCATACAGATGCTCTAAATAAATAATAAACAACAATCAAAGCAAGTGTGAGCCCTGCACAAAATACTGCTTTGCTAGACACCTGGGTGAATGGGGACTTGGGGCAGGAGGTCTTGTGCTTTTCTTTCCATTCGCGCATGCATTGGGAATGGGGGAGTAAAAAGACATGAGGCATCTTTCATCTGAGGAAATACTAAAGCAAGGGGGATATGGTGTTTATGTGTTTTTACCTTGATTGGAAGGGTTAGGAATAGTGCTTAGTAATAACCAATATACAAATGCAGCATTTTTAAGAAGAGATACTTTAAAGAATGCTATTTAAAACTTTGGTGTTTTAAAAATCCTCATCTGCAATTGTATGTATTAAGCTTAAATGTGTTGTAGTACATAGGACTCTGATAGTTTTTTCTGAAAATCACTTACCTGAGTTCTTGAATGCATTACTGCTTTATGACTGTGGTCTTTGATGTATAAAAGTTTCAGGACTTGTAAATCATAACAGTAACACTGATATGAATTGGGGAAATGGCTAACATGGGAGAGTAAATAGAGGGCGGTGTGCTGGCGTTTCCTTTTCAGCTTTTAAATGGATGTGCAGTAGCATTTCCTCCACCTTAAAGGTCATATTGATGCACTGCTTTGGTATAGAAGTTCCATAAGGTGAATGGATTTCATGTGGGCTAATAGTTATAAACCATAAAATTGCTTGAATTATGTTTTAAACTTCATTCTTGCAAAATGTTCAGTGAGAATAGTTCTTTTGGGGCTTCAACAGCTGTTAATATGTTCAGATGATTAACCTGCAAGGTCACTTGTTCATGAAATTTAGTTCTACAGAAAACACACTGTCCGCCTTAGCTTGCATCCAGTTTAAAAAGTGTTCATACAGCCTTGCCTTGCTATATGATGGTAAATATTACATATTGGTCAGTGGAAATGTGCTTATGTGTTGCTCTTCCCCAGATTCCCTTTTGAGGACATCTTGGTGGTAGTTGTAAAATGTGTGTAGGAGGTTGGTAGTAAAATTTTTAAATAAAAGGAAAAGGTATGGGAATAAGATAAATAAAAGGAAAAGGATGTTACATTCCTGAGAATTCTCTGGGCTTGCCATATACCAAGCTGCTTATTTTTTTTCTGCAAGAATGTGTTATCTTGCTAGTTTGTGATATCATTCTATGTTCAAGTGAAACCAAGCTTCTTACATAATTTTAAAATGGGTTACAGTGTCCTTAGAGAAGCTCAGATTGTTCCAGACAACTCAACAATCATTTTTTCCTCACACTTAGTAAATATTTATTGTAATTTTACTGAGCTGACCTTGTGTGTTCTGACTGTTCTCTCTTTTCCTGGAGAAAAATGGCAAAATAACCATTGCCTAATCACATTATACTTAACCTCTGTCAAAAGTGTAAAGGGAGCCATTTCTCTCCTTTAATGATTGTACAAAGATAAGTATTTCACTAGTGGTTTATAATTGGAGATGCTGTTCCAGTTAACTTATAAAACTTAATGTTTAATAATCTCTGGACTTAACTGTGTGTGAAATCAAGTGGGCTGACCATCTACAGGACTGAAATTCTGACAATATATTGTGAACCATTGCTTGCATGGCAAAGACATCATGGAAGAGCGATATGACTTAGCAAAGGCCCCCCTTCAGTGTTAGAGGACAGTTCTGTCTATTGGACCTATGTGCTTTTCCACAGTAGGTGTGACTATTGAGGTGCAATGTGTTTAGACTTGCAGAAGTTACTGGCAGTCAGCAGTTACAATCCCCCCCTCCAGTTTTGCTTCCTATTCCATCATGTCTACATACTGGAACGTGTTCAAGGAGTTAAGTACCCATTAACTGGAGTCTTCAGATCATGATCTGGCTTTGAAGAAACTAGAAAAATATATGTGTACAGTATGTTTATCTTTATATATTTATGTAATCTGTGCTTGTTGTATTGAGACATCCAGTAGAGCCTACTTACCCCTCTTGGCTTGGGTCTCAAGCTGACCATACCTCCTGCTGATGTTAGAAATTGCTGTGCTAGCAAAAGAAAGCAGAGGCAGCATTAGTGTGGGTTTACGTGTGCCACATTATCATGCTTTTAGTATGATTCTGTGGTAGGAGCTCAGAAAGGTGAGATGCATCCTAGAAGTCAGCTCAATTTTGCCTCAACAGCAAGGATAGTAACTGGTAGTTGGAAGACATTTTTCTTGAAAAATGGCTTTAGGAATATTCTTGCTGCACAGGGGTCCTGCCAACACAACCTCTAATAATCGCATGGGTTTCTGATGTATTGGACTGCATCTCACAGAATTCCTAGTCGGCATGGGGCAGACTATCCTAACAGGACTGTGAGCATCTCAGTGCTGTTTCTGCTCAGGTCAATACATGGCGTGGCCTGATTTAATACAGAGGTTATTCTGGGTGGTATTGTCCTACTTGTGTCCCAGAGTGTTATCAAAAAAGAATCAAGAAGAGGTTGTTGGCTTCATCAGAGTAGGTAATTTATATTTAAAACAACTTTCAAGTTGTTGGCCGCCTTTTTGGAGCCAAAACCCACACTTGGGGTTTGAAGTATTTGCAGTTTGGGTTCTCAAGGCATAGAAAAAGGATGTGTTGTGTGTGTTTGGCACAGTGAAAAGATAATTGTGAGTAGAAAGTTGTGCTAGAGGGAGTGTTAAGATCAGTGATTCCCCTGGGTACAGTGGAAAGATCCAGAAGGGTGGTGATTGGTTGCTTTAAATTTCACACTAGAGCAGTAGACCTAATACAAAGAAAGAGGCATGGGGGCACATTAAACTATAAAATTATAGTTGCTAGTTGTGCTTAAAATACAGCTTAACTTGACTGGCTACTGGTGAAGTATGTTGCTCAAAGTAGACATGTTGTGATCTGTTTTTTAAAAAATAGAAAGTTACATGCATACATATATATTAAATTCTCTCTGCTTGCTGTATTTCCTCCCCCCCCCCCCATCACCTTTATAGTGTGAACAGGTGTCTGAAGCTCTTGTTCATGTTGGAATTTGGGCCTTGAAGGGAATTTCTTGTCTGGTTTGATTCTTGAGCTTGTAAAATGTAGCACATGGCTGCCGTTGTTGAGGAGCAGCCGAATTCTAGTTTTATTGACCAACTGTAGGCTGAGGGCAGCAAATCATCACCAGATAGTTCTCTGCTGTGGATTTTAATGTTAGTCTATACAGCTTACCTTACTCCCCATAGGATTTTCTTGGAAGCCTTAGCTACCCTGGAGGTTTTCATAGATGAGTGGAGTGGGAATGTAGCAAAACCTTGCTAGCATGCAAACCTTTGGGAATTTGTGTAAGAGAGGACTGTTGAAGAAAGAGGTTGATCTTAAAAATGTTGTGCTCTCTAGTAAAATAGCAAATCTTCAACCCCTTCAGAAATACCATTTATGTCTTACTTATTTTTCACAGATTGCATCTTTTAGAAGTGGCATAGATGGAGCATTAGGTGTATTTTGAAGTGCTACAGAGTTAAAGATCCTGGATAAGTTACGGTGGAGACTTGGATTGGTTTTCTTTTCCTCGCTTTTTTGTTATTCCATTATTTCAGTTCTTGTTTTAATCATAGAAACAGAAAAAAGCAAATCAGAAGGGGTCTCCTAGACCATCTAGTCTGATCCCTGGATCCAGATGGCTCCGCTCATGTAATCCCCAACATGTGGTTGTCCAGTCTTCCCTTGAACACCCTCACTGATGGGGCCTCCACCACCTCATTCCCATTCCATATCCTAGGGGTCCAACCATCAGGAAATACTTCCTGATGTCCAATCTGAAGCCTGGTTCCTTGAGCTTTGCCCCATTGGAATGGATCCTTTCCTCCAGCACAGAGGTGAACAGGTGATGCCCCTCTTCCACATGACACCCCCTCACAAGTTGCTCAAAGATCCCCTCGGAATCTCCTCTTCTCCAGACTGAAAAGACCCAGTTCCCTCAATCTCTCCTCATACATCATCCCTCCCAACCCAACTCCATTTTTGTGACTCTGCGCTGAACCGACTCTAGTCTAGCTATGTGTGTCTATAAGGTGGAGCCTAGAACTGGATGCAGCACCTCAGTCGTGGGTGCACCAGAGTAGTGTAGAGCAGTATCAGCACTTTCCTTGATCTGGAAGCCACGCTTCTGACCATACATCCAAGGGTGGCATTTGCCTTCTGAATCACACTGCTAGCTGATGTTCAGCTTGCTGTCAGCAAGTTAATCTGGAAAAGTTAGGGTGTTGTGCAGTTTAGATCATTCTCTCTTGATTCCACCTGGCCTTAGCAAGGATATGCAAGTTAAACTTGTGTCTAAGTTATTTCAGGGAACATCTTCTTTGCACCAGTTTCCTAGGTTAGTACAGGGAAGTCTTGTCACTTGCGGGAGTAGCATGGGAACAGGCTGCCTTTCTGGTGGTTCCTGACGAGCATAGTGATTTCTATTCCCTGGTATGTTAGACCCCAATGCTGGTATGTTTTTGGCATTTCTTGAACATACTTTTTTTATTTTGGCCTTCCCCCAGCCAAGAGCTATCTTTGAAACAGAATCTAATATTACGTATGCCAACTGTATTGTCTTATGATAGTTTGTAAACTCCTTTTGCGATATGTAGATGAGAAGCACTTTAGAAATATTGCTAATAACGTTTGATTCCAGATCCTCTCTGTTGGTGAACATACTCGTAAATGTTGTGTTCTAGAAGTCCTGTCAGGGATGGCTGGGAATGGAAGTAATGTAACCAAGATGGTAATGCCTGAAATTCAGAGTTGGCAGGAAGCAGGCAGCACCCTGTTCTATCCATGTCAGAGGTCAGTATTCCAAGTCCTTTATGTGTCATATTGTACAGCTATTTGGGGTACTGTTTACAGATTACAATTCCTCATCTTAAAAATGGTAACCTTTGCATAGAGCCACCGATATGGGGCAAGGGTAATATACAGGTAAGATATAAAAGAAGTTTATAAAAATGTACAAAGAGTAGAGAAAGAAGAAATATTCTATTCTTTTCTCATAATCTTAGAATTTGAAGTCATCCAGTGAGACAATTTGGCAGTTGATTCAGAATGGCTTTAAGAATGTACTTTTTCATGCAAAGGGAAGAATTGTGAAATTCACTGCTCCGTCCTGTGGTGATGGTCGCGAACTGAGATTACGCTCCAGATTTGTTTAAAACTCTAATAGTGAAGTCCTCATTAGTGAATATTTGAAGTGAAATTCTGAATACCTTTTTTTCTGAGAAGTTTTCTGATGCACTAAATCAGCTTTAGGCTTCAGGCTTAAATTGAAGAAAGTAGGGAAATGCACTAGGCCACTCAAGTATGACCTAAATCATATCCCCGATGAATATGCAGTAGAGGTGACAACTAGATTTAAGGAGTTAGATCTGATAGACAGAGTGCCTGAAGAACTATGGATGGAGGTTCACAACATTGTATAAGAGGCAGCAACTAAAACCATCCCAAAGAAAAATAAATGCAAGAAAGCAAAATGGCTGTCTGAGGAAGCTTTACAAATAGCTGAGGAAAGAAGGGAAGTGAAAGGCAAGGGAGAAAGAGAAACATACACCCAATTGAATGCAGAATTCCAGAGAATAGCTAGAAGAGAAAAGAATGCCTTCTTCAATGAACAGTGCAAAGAAATAGAAGAAAACAATAGAATAGGGAGGACCAGTG